CAGGTTCTTGCGCGTTGTTTATTTATTGCATGAACTGTTCCAGAAAGTCTTCTGCCTCATCGTAATTGTCTAAATTAAATTAACCAACTAAATATACACTATTACTTTGGGCCACCTTACCAGTTTTTGAATGAACTTTAAAGATCTTGTAAATAGGCCAAGTTGATTTGTAAGGTGTTTTATTTTTCACAAAATCGTTGAAATTTACTTTTCCTAACTTCGTTTAATAATAATAATATAGTAAACAAACACTATAATTTCAAAATTGACAAGACAAAGTAACAAAAATATAGTCCTATAATTACAGTACAAATAAAAGACAAAAATCTAGCCTCTTTATCTGTGTTTAAATGAATACATTGCAACATTATGTAACTGCATGGCCTTGTGTTATTGGATACTTAACAACATCTAGTTCTGTTGCTTGTAAAAAGCTCCTAAAAACAGCAACAGCGTTTAAAGAACTCTCCCCAATCCTGTTTCTTCTTTTGGTCTTGTCAATGACGAGTTGACCTACGTTTTACATTTAGTACATTTTATCTACTCTTGATTCAACACACAACCAAGACCTACCAAACTATGTTGCTCTTTTCTAAGCTGAAAAAATTATGATTTATCAATTTTCACATTTTCTTTGCTGCGTTGTCAGCCTACTTAAGAATGCTTCTAAAAATTCCCCAAAATTGCCGACTTTTGTCAAAAAATTCCCTTTTTCCCTTTCTTATCCTAAAATTCCCTTAAAAGGGAAAATTACCTGCAGTTGGCAACACTGCGCATTAACATCAACCACCGAGAGCAACGGCCAACGACGACAACAAATAAGCAGCGCAAACGCAAAGGATGTCACACAGGGTTGCCTCTGCGTTGCAGCGTAACATCACTTAAAAATAAAAATTGTAAAAAAAATGAGAAAGATTGTTAAAAAATTCTAAAAAGCACACTGTTTATTACAAGACTGCGCATGTATAAATTTGCAACACGCTTTAATTTTTTTTCAGTCGATTTTTTTATTGACGGTAACTTCATGACACGCGACATTCTGGCAACAAGGACCGCTTTACCCAATGGCAAGTTAATTGGTAATCCCAAAATTTTCTATTGGTTCAAATTAACTTTTGAATTTGTGAGGCGACGAAATAATACATATATTAATTATATCTATACATAAAAAAAAATTCAAATAATTTTAGGTAATTGGAATCTTCATTTATTAACAAGTCTATAATCATTTCGGTTGGTAGTCCACGTTAAATAAACGTGTTGAGTTAACAGTTAGATTCAAATAATTTATTCCTATAAAATATAATTTAAAAGAACACGTGACGCTGAACATAATACAGTAACGTTAAATAAACGGAGAATTATGGAAACTCCTAATTACTATAGTGCTGAATATTTATTATAAAATAAAGTATGTATAAATTTAACGTTCAGATAACGTTTCTGTTGTACGTTAATTATATGAAAAAAGTACTATTTAACATTTTATAGTACAATTTACGTAAACAGGAAAGTAACTTATATAAGTAGATACAATAATTTTGACAGTTAAATTTAAGGATTTGGTCATATACAATATTACGTTATAAGAATATTTAAATATGAACGTTATGAATTAACATTAAATGAACATAACATTCTCAAAACTTCCATCTACGTCTGTTGAAAAGTTCATTATAAGATTGTGTAATAATTTAATGTTGCTATTCTCCGTTAATTACGTGTCAAAAATATTATTAAAAATTTAGGTATATATTTTACGTAAATAGAAACGTTATTATTGACAAGTGCAATAGTTTTGCTTAATAATTAACGTAAAATTAACGTGTTCCATTAACAGTTAAATTTGAAGCATTTACTTACCGTAAACGTCCCAGTAGCTGAGGTCTTAAGCCCAACTCTCGGATATTTTATGTTATCATTTTCTTATTCAAAAGTTTTCACGGTTAATTTTTTTTTTTAATAAAACTACACACATTGTAGATTACGCTAAGTGTGTTAACGCCTTACTATAACGTCTGGCAATTTTCTTAACGAATTTTAAATAAAAAAAAGTGCAAAAGTACCTATAGCTGACGTGTCGTGAACCAGTTGCGGACATTTGTTGTCTCAGTACCTGACAAAGAGTTTGAAATATAGATATCTAGGTAGGTAGGTAAGTGAAAAAATCAAACTACAGATATCTAAGTATATTTTTTATATATATTTATAAAATTATATTATTCACTCCAGGTATGAATGCCCCCGAAACTGAAATATCACTTTTGCAGCATTAAATTGTTTTTCTTACACTACCATATAATGTAAAAATCGATAAGAGTGAAATTCTTGTTCTGGCTTGCACATGAGTCACAAAAAATAGCCAGTCCCTTCACTTGTAAGGGTAAAGCGTGACGAAAACAATGGTACCTCATGGAACAAATTTCGTCAACTCCTTTCCTAGCAACTGATTCGTCGTAGGTGTAGAATACGAAGTGTGAATTTGAAAGGACATGGATTTTAAAACTTATGATGTTGAGCTGCCTTTTGTAGTAAACATCGTTTGTAGTGATGTTCAGTGTGGGTAGGTTTTTTTGGTAGTCTATTGTGATAGCCGCCATTGTCTTGGGTTTCATTGAACGTTTATTTGACTATGCCGCCGGCGGTACCATAACTGCCACCCTTAAATTCTTCTGAATTCGAAAGATAGCAATACATAAAAATCTAAGGTTATACAAATGTTATATGCAAAATCCAAATAAAAATAAATGAGTACAATATAGAATACCGAATTGTAAATAATCTAAAAGAGAAGATATATAATAATAATATGCGGGAAAATGGAATTGCGTTCACTGGCACTGCACTCGAATAAATTCCCCATATTCACTCCCACACACTAATCACAGGGTGATATATTCTATGTCACTCTCCAATGGCAGGACGGACAGTTTGGACGCAGCTCTCTTGTAGACGCCCTTGCTCGTACGTACCGTTGCGAGACGTGCTAGCCCCTCTGGATAGACTACCTGTACTCTTGTCATTGGTCACGTCAAGGGTAGAGTTTGATCATCGAGAAGTAGTACGAGACATCCAAGTTTAAGGGTACGTTCTGGCGATACCTTCCACTTGTTTCTCCCTTGAAACTGGATTACATACTCCCGTTGAAATCTCCTCCAAAACTGTTGACACATTCGTTCTGTAATCTGCCAACGGTCCAGTTGGTTCAGACCGACGTCTTGTAGATCTCTCCTGGTGGGGCCGATAAGGAAATGCCCCGGAGTCAATACCGACACGTCGTTTGGGTCCGCGGATAATGGGGTAAGTGGTCGCGAGTTGAGTTACGCTTCGACCCGGGTGAGGAAGTTGTACATTTCTTCGAACTTTAGCAACACACTTCCAACCACTTTTTTAAATGGCGCTTTACAGACTTAATGTTGCCATCCCAAATTCCTCTAAAATTTGGTGATTTAGGACGTCCCATTTTATTTGATCTTGTAAACCCTTTCTGATATTATCTTGGAACTCGTTACTGGTGATTAATTTAGTTAATTCAGTTTTTCCGCCTACAAAATTTTCCATTATCGGAATGTATCTCCGACACATTTCTACTGCGCGAAACAAACGTTTTAACGTGCTTAGAAAAGCACTAGATATCAGATTTCTCACTAACTCTAAATGGACGGCCTTGGTACAGAGATATAGAAAAAGGGTTATGTAGGTCCTTGCATCCTTACCTCTACCGCTGTTGATGTGGAAGATCGCCGGTTTTCTGATAATATATTTTTGGATTGGTTGTAAAACATGGGACACTTATGTAAGAGCTCTTTAATTGTGTTACGTGCTGTAATAATCCTAAAATCCTCAAATCAAATCCTGTGGTATCAAATCGGGGCTTCGAAGTGACCAGATATTGTCAGATTTTCGATCTATGCAATGATTCCTAAAATTCAGCGATAATGGCTCGGTGCCCCATCTTGTTGTAGCCATAAATTTCGTCTTGTATTTAGATCTAGATCTTCTAACAGTAAAGACGTTAGGTTTGTAAAAAATCCAGATACATTGCACTATTAACAGTTACATGAAAAAAACTGGAGGCCAATGACATGATTACTTATAATGCCGTACCAAACATTAAACTGAGAATACATGTTGAACATTTGTTTCTCGAATCCATCGTGGATTTTCTTGCGCATAGTAGTGACAGTTGTTGTGATTCACTTCTTCGTTACTGCTGAATCTTTCCTCGTTACTGAATAATACCTGATCTAAGAAATTAGAATTTGCACTTAGATTTCGTTAGATAAAATAACAAAACTGCGCTCTCTTCGGAAAACCCTTGCACCAACGTTATGTGATATGGATGAAGCTTACTTGCAGGGAGAATACGGCCTATCGATGCCACTCTGTCTGGCCAGTGCAATTTGACCTATATGGAAATCTGTTACTGCTTCAAGCATCACAGTCTCATTACTGGACCTATAGCATTGTGTCGTTTTACCTTAGTCCAGTTTTGGCGTAATGTTACTTTTAATTTTCTAAAAGCTTGAGGTAGTGAATGATTTCGATACGGATGTCTTTGAAGATAGATATTTGCATAAGACATTGTGGCGGGTTTCTTCACTCAATGCAGTTTGCGCATTTTTATGTCGATATCAGCGGTCGCAATAACAGCAATGCAGTTTTTTGTTAAACGACTACTCCTTAATTGGTGATTTTATTTCTCCACGATATCTCAATGTAGCAATGAGAAGCTCATCTGAAAAATTCAACTCATTGCCCTCTAATTCACCTACTGGTGTACAAAATTCAAATTTTGTTGATTTTCTCTGTAGGTTTTCTTTGTAAAACTGCAGCAGTCCATGTTTCACCGCGTTCTGCGTTTTTTCCTAATCCCTCTCGAATATTATCTCCATTGATTTCTAAAAGCGAGACAGATACATTTCTTCTAAATTGCAGGTGGTCCATTTTTCCGCCTTGTAGTCTGTGAATTTGCCATGCATTTTGTTCGGTAGCATCGATCATGTATTGTAACGGTATATTGACTCTGGTTGTGGAACAGTAACTCTCTTTTTTTCTTTTTGGGAAAATCGGCTAACGTGATGGAATGGCTCCACATTATGCTGATTGGATACCATTAGGACTATGTTGTTGTCGGACCATTTTACAACTTGAATGTCGTTGCTTGTAGTTATTTTATGGCTAGATGAAGGTCTTTGTTTCTTTATTTCATTATCAGATGCCAAAGGACATTTTGCAATTCTGTTTTTCCTGATTGTTCCACAGGCCTTGACGTTTCGTTTTGTGAGTTCGTCGATAAGAGGTAGACTTGTAAAAAAATTATCAAAGTATATACAGTATGGTAGGTTATAATTGGATAGAGTACGTCTACATATTGCAGTACCACAGATCCGCCAAGTCCAAAACATTTGTATTGTGGGTTAATAAGTGAACTTGCCCCTTGATAGGGTTCATTCCAAACTATATAACCACCTGATGTCGCTCCAACCCATAACTTGTAACCATACCGCAAAGGCTTACCTCTAATGAACTGTTTACAGCCATGACGACCAACGAGGGCACCATGACTTCATCAACACAGTGATTTTCTGTTACAGGAGCGAATAACATAAATTTCTCATTGATATCGCAAAAAAGAGGTCTTACTTTAGCAAATTTCTCGGTTGGATTGAGTTCGTCATTATTACAGCAGTGTATGTTAGACAAGATATGTTCGAATCTGTTTCGTGACATTGCCTCTGAAACCAAAATATTGTGCGTGTCTTTTGCTGTTTCCCAGTACATCCTTTTTCTGGGCATAGGATTATATCCACTTAGTAATAATTTGCCAATAAATGTTTTTATTTCAGCTGCTGTAATGTCTGTTCTTCTATTTTTACTTCCAGCGTAATGGTTAGAATAAAAAAAAGCTCAAAAAGTTGCAGAGGTGACTTTTTGTCTTGCACTAAATGTGGTTCGGACCATTCTTCGTGTATTAGAGTATGATTTAAAACTCCGTCTTTACAAGCATACGTTTTCTTTTTTTCTGGTAGATCTATTTTTGCAACAATGTGGGAAAGCGGTACAAGATCTTCTTCCCACTCTTGTTCTGAACTATCAGAAAAACTACCAGATGAAACTTCGACGTCAGTTTCAGCAAGTAGCTGGTTTCCCGGTAAGTTGTTTATGTTAACTTCTTCGTTACCTGAATCTTCATCCGTGTCACAATTAGGATCACATGCATTTATAGGGGGCATGATACTAACATTAAGTGATGTCCCTGGTGGAACGTAATCATCATCTTCCAGGCTCCGCAATAATTCATCCAAAGTCAACCCTCTGCAAACAAAGATCGCATATTAGCCCACGGTTCTTTTAGAAGGACAGCGAAGTTCGCTGGGTAATAACAAAATTACAACAGACAGAAACACGATTGCAAGTATAGACTGAGTTTTTATGTAATGTTTTGTTTCATCTGAACAAATAATCAGTCCCAGAATAAAACAGTACTATGCAAAACGTACCCCACTAGTCTAACGTCACCGTGAGCAGCCATTGGAACAAAAATAACACTACAATAAAACTATACAACAGCCACAAATTTCTTTGCAATAACCACCAAAATGAAAAATAGCTTAACTATAATCACCCTAATGTACTTCCATCTACCGAAGAAAATTTTAACTAAGTGATAATAATAAATTTATTGCTTATATGTGAAACAAGTACATTAAAGCTCCTCAAAAAGTTATATAATTGTATAACATAGAAGCTCACATATAGAAATCTGTAATCTGTCCTTTTATAAGGACAGTGGGCACATCTGGGTTAATATTTCAGAATTTTGCGGTTGTAGTCATCGCTCTGCCTCTTGAGAAATGCTACGAGTTTGGGATATTTGTCCAAATGTGGGTTATGTTTTACAAACAATTAACTCACTTTTAACATTGAATATCCTGTACAAAGAAGAGGGTTTAAAAGTTTCGGACTTGATTTTAAAATACGGTGAAACGTTGTCTAAGTGTGTCTCAAGTCTTAATTTTGTTATCGTTGCACCATTTTGTGAATTTCTTAAACTCCTCTTCATATCGAGTGCGAGATTTCGCTGGAAGCAACCCCGACAATGCCTCTTCGGCGTATTTTTCTACATAATCATTCATTTTACCGCGAATTCACTTTATCAGCACCAGTTTAAAACTCTTCATACAATTTTTTCGTTTTTGTTACTGATTGCTAACGGAGAAGGTCGTGGCAACATATTTTCATTACAAGACAATTTCGCTAGTTTTTTTTTTATTAATGAAAATAGTTATTAGAAAAAGTTATTTAATATCTTCTAATTTTTTTAATAAAAAGCAGCTTAAAAATGTTGTATACTTGTGTCACACGCCGAAACGGCTTTGCATTCCTCGCGTTACAAATAACTACTCTCGGATGCAAAGTTTTATTTTCGGCGCTTGGTATATAAATGTCACGGGAATGATTTTTATACCGAATTAAAGATTTTCGTTAAAAACCCATTTTACTTTTTAAGACAAAATTGGCATTTAGACGTCATATAACACTGGATTTTCCAATGAAGAATAATATTTATCTGTAAGACCTGCATTTGTAGGGTCTAAAATCGCGGTAAGGGAGCATTCAGGTAGTGAGCGCAATTCGGACATTTCCAGAACCGTAAAAAGGCGCAACTCCTCTCTTTTTCAAGTCATGTGCGCAATTCGGACTTTCCCCAGTTTTATTGTTGGAGTTGTGCCTGCTTTCAAAAGTTGATCAGATATATGTATTGCAGTGGCGGCTCGTGAAGTTTTCTTCAGAGGAGGCTCAAATCTGAAAAGCACTACTTTTTATATCTTTCATTATCTGAATCATTTTTTTTGTCATGCCCACGAAAAGAACACTCTTGCGTTGATAGATAAACTATTGCATCGATTAGTCTTTTCAAAATTGCCCTATTTTCACCAACTTTCTCGTTATAGTTCTCAATATCCCTCTTATGAGCGGAATCTAAAGTAGTAGAAGAAAATATGTGTTCCTGTGATTTTTCATGCCTTTCTATAGCTCGTGACAACTTTTGTAAATTATTATAGCCTGTTTTATCCCAAACGGAAGATAATATACAATTCCAACAGTATAATTTGTTTCTTAAAACCCAAACCGTTAACCATTTAGTTTTATTATAATTATTTTCATCAAATGCTTTGCTTTGCTTTCTACCTGTCATTACCATTAACGGGAGTAGTGGTGTTGGTCTCTCCTTTTCTTTATAGCTATCTTTTTATCACAATTAAAGCTACTAAATTAATTTTTTAATAGATAATTTACGATATCTGCACACGAGACTGAATTATTTTCGTTGCTCATTCTCATTAAGTATAAGTGATATCAATATGCCGATAATACCAGCTGTTTTTAACGATCAGAAATAAAACGCAAATAAATTATACAAAAAATGTCGTAGTACCTACGTAAAGCCTAAACACCCCTCGCCACTGAACAGGGAGCACGCGAAACCACCTCAATGTTTTTCCTATTTATACCCGATCGCGTCAATTAATAAGAAAGAGATAAAATTATCCGTACGACTTGATCTGAAAAGAGATGAACTAGCCGGAGGCTAGCGGCCTGAAGCGGCAGCCCGATCAACGTTTTAGCCAATGCTGTACAGCACGATGATGTGTGAAGGTTGCGGTCTCAATAGTAAGATGCATTCTCGGCGGAGGCTAGCCTTTACCGCTGAAGCCAAACGCGGAGTGGTGTGAATTATGATTGTAAGGGCGCAAATATAATTTTTTGCGACATTTTAACCTGATATATGATGAAAGTAAATTAAATCAAACAAAATATTCTGAAAAGTAACAAATGTCTGCAAAAATACAAATTCTTACCTCGAAAAAATTAGAGGAAGCTCAGCTCCAAAAAACAGAGGAGGCTCAGCCTCCCCTGCCTCCTCTGAGGAGCCGCCACTGATGTACTGTAAAATAATCTTTGAATAAAACCACACACCGCACTACACAATTTATTCAAGACCTCCCTCAAATCACAGATTGAACGTATTTACAGTTCTAAGTTTAGATTATTATTGCCCCTGAGGGGTGGTACGGTACTGCCTCCGCGTGTGGCAGGGTCAGGCGAAAGAGGGCAAGTACTCTTACAATATCGGCCATCCTGACTTTGGTGCTGTCCCCAGACCCGTGACTGAAATGGAAGCCTAAAGCAAAAGATTCCAGCGTAATTTACGATAAGACCCCAACCAAAAGGATGTACGTTGCAATCCCCCTAGTTAGATTTGATAACCTAGCTTAGCATGATTTTAGGTAAACCCAGTAGGCGATCTCGTCGTTTTAAAATTGAGACAGACCTAATAGGTGTCTCGTCATCTTAACTTTGAGATAGACCTGAGAGGTTGACTCGTCGTCTTAATTTTGAGATACACCTAATAGGTGATCTCGTCTTAATTTAAAAAAGGACCCGTTGCCTTCGTGACTTGAAGGTGATGAAAAGGAAAACAGACCTATTGGTCCCGTAAAAGTAGCGGTCGCTAGCCCATTCGCTACTTCCGTCTACTTACGTACGTAAACTTTGTAACAGCTTGGAATACGGAACAAGGGGTGTTTTTTGCTCTATTGAAAAGTTTTCTTAGCCCCGATTGAAGTAGGGTGAGCCTTCGGTTCCACCTTTGCCAAGACCTTCCTTCTTTAGGAGGTAACTTTTCTCATACGCTGACATTAGAGTCGTTGATAATGGTCAAGGTTTTCTCTATGTCTTCTGTCGATCTGTATTCTGTTGGTATAGACTGCACGGAGGTCCCCAGTCTGTCGTCCAGTTCTTCGTTGTATAAAGCCGAGTTCGTCAGCCTAGGGTTCCTGTATATCTTTGTCTCCATGTCTATACATTTTAATGTATACATGATCCATCTATGGTCTGACACTGACGCCTCTAGAGACGTGCCATCCCATTATATATTGTGAGATATCCCATGTAGCCAGTGTAATATCTATTACTGACTGACTACGCGATGTTACGAAAGTTGGTTCGCAGCCTCGGTTGAGAATCTCTAGAGTTGTTGATAAAAGATATTTAGCTAGTGTTCTTCCTCTATCATTAGTGTCTTTGCTCCCCACAGCAGACAGTGGGCATTCGCATCGGTACCGATGATGAGGTTTATATTTCCGGTATCACAGTGTTCCACCAAGTTTGCCATTTACCATGTTGGACATGGTTCCTGTGCGCCCTGTGGTAAGTACACGGATGCTATTACCAGTTGCTCTTCGCCTCTTCCTATGTTACACTTAACATTTACCGCAGTCACATCCCTGGAGCTGACCTGAGGTAGGAGGACGGCTTTAATTTTCCTGGGAATGTAGATGCATGTCCTTGGAGATTCTATTGTGGTACCTGAAACAACAGTGCCATTTAAATTGCTCAACCCTGCCATCCTGGATTTTACTATCCATGGTTCTTGAATTATTGCTATAGTGTTCTGCATCTTGTCTAGACGACGACACAAAGCAGTCGTCGCCATGCGACAATACTGCGGGTTAATCTGAATGAAATTTATCTGCTGCAGCGCCATCTCTGCAACCAAAAATCCCATACCTGTCCTAGGAGACACCAGGCATATGTCTCAGGCGGGCCTGCCCCCACTGGTAGAGGCTTCATCCCCTGGGGTTTCTACCTCTTCCATAGGGATCTGCTCTTCCTGAGCCAACGCGTCGTACTCCTTGAGTTTCAGGTTGAAAGAGGACAGCATATAGTTGATTCTGCCCTCTCTCTCCCTGATTATCTTGGCCTCATCCTTCCCAAGACCAAACACAAAG